AGAGAGAGAGAGAGAGAGAGAGAGAGAGAGAGAGAGAGAGAGAGAGAGATCCCACTGTGGAAGGAGAGAATGGACTCCTGAAAGTTGTCCTCTGGCCTTTACACTAGTCCTTGACACACAGGCGAGTTCACATATGCCCCACCCACCCTGTGTGCACTGTGATTTGAGATACACACACACACACACACACACACACACACACACACAGTATTTGTTCAGCCACTAATGAGCCAATATTATCCCAGGTAAGGCCCTTTCTCCATATATGAAATGAAGAGTCCTTGTCCCTGGAGTTATCTCTTCTGTGTCATTTATAATCCATAAGAACACAAGCCCCGCATGATCAATGGTGTCTGCCTAGGTCTGAGTCCTAGAACTATTTCTAGTTCTTGAGGTTGCTCAGGGTATGTTCGTTGCTAGGGAGCAACCTGTGCTGTATGTTGGTCATTAAAGGGGCTTTCTGGCGCGCGCGCGCGCACACACACACACACACACACACACACACACACACACACTGTGCCATCACACAGACACTCGGCACTCACTGGTCTGAAGTAGTCATTTGGCTCTCAGGGGGACACACCTAAGTTGCTAATACAGAAATACAGATGTGGGAAGGCCTTATAGAAGGGAAGGACTGGCCTAGCAGTCAGGAAAGCTGGCCCGCCACCTGTGACTACCTAGAGGTCAGCCTATTTCTTTGAAGTTCTGCTTTTTCTTCCACAAGGTAAGGGGCTATATCGGACTCTGGGCATCTTGGATGCAGGTCTCTGGCTTTGGTCCTGTTACGCCTGTCACCTATAAGAAATCTGGGGCAGATGAAGCCCTTGGGATGGATGTGGGGTTAGACACAAAGGCAAGACAATTAGTAGGAGGCACCAGCTCATCAAAGACACCGAGACAGGGAGACTGCCTTTCATGGTCACTGCTTGGTGCCCTTTGTGAGCATCAGCTGTTAATGGCACATGAAAGCAGGGCTGTCTGCTGCTCTATTATCTGTAGCTGTCCCTGGGTGGCAACGCTATGGGAGGTCACCTGCCAGGCGGTCCATGGGAGTGTCTGCATTATGTATATTTGCCAGTATTGTGGTGTGAGGACTCTGCTAATATTTTATAGAAGATTCTAGGTCCATCAGCTTTTGGACTCCCTCCTTCCCTTCTTCCCTCCTTCCCTCCCTCCCTCCCTCCTTCTTTCTTTCTTTTTCTTTTTTGAGGCAGGTCCTCATCATGTAGCCCCAGCTGTCCTGAAACTTGCTCTGTAGACCAAGCTGGCCTCAAACTCACAGAGATCCAGCCACCTGGGATTAAAGGAATGGACCACCACTGCCTGGCTAAACATATTTTTGTATGTGGTGCTGGGAATTGAACCCAGAGCCTCATGCATTCTAGGCAAGCACCCTACCACTGAGCACGTCCCAACTTTGTAAAGGTTTCCTTATGAAAAGTGACTAGACATTTCCCACCCACTAGGATGTCATCATGAAAACAAAACCACATAGGAGAGAGCAAGTGTTGTCCAGGAGGTAGAGATATTGGGACTCTCTCTCTCTCTCTCTCTCTCTCTCTCTCTCTCTCTCTCTCTCTCTCTCTCTTCTGTATTTTTCAATTTATTTGGGCTCTCTCTCTCTCTCTCTCTCTCTCTCTCTCTCTCTCTCTCCATTTCTGACAGACATAAAATGGTGTAGGCATAACTAGCAAACAATAGAATGTGGAATGTCTCTTAAAGTATTCAGAACGGGGCCAACAAGATGGCTCAGTGAGTAAGAGGGGGCCTGCTGCCAAGCCCAATGACCCGAGTTTGATCCCCAGGACCCCCCATACAGGAAAGAGAGAACTGCTGCCCACAAGTTTTTTGCTGATTCCCACAAGCATGTCATGACTAGGGCCTCCCCAAATAAATACATGAAAATTTAATAATGTAAAACCAAAGAATGGAATTCTCATATGGTCCAGATATGTCTATCACCTTCAGGGCTATACCGAAAAGAAATGAGAGCAGGATTTAAGATAGTCCTGTGCATAGAAAATGGGTCAGAGGTGTACAAAGCAAAGTTAGTTACCTTCCAGACAGAAGGAGATCCTCTGGCACCAGGGAAAGGAAGGTCATCGCTATGTTGAAGTTACCCTGGGCTCTATCACAAGACCCCGACTCAATAAACAAATGGACTGGGCTATGGAGATGACTCAGTGGGTGAAGTGTTTGTGGGTTAGCATGATGATGTGAGTTCATACTCCCAGAACCCACGGAAACACTGGACACAGTACTGATTGTGTCTGTAACTGCAGTGTGCTTCCACTGGGAGATGGGTGGCTGATACTGAACAGCCATAAAGATCTTGTGGACCAGCTAGTTTGTCTACGCAGCAGGAACAGCAAAAGAGACTGTATCTCAAATAAAGTGGAAGCAACCACTGACCCCTGAGGAATATGCCATATGTGTGTGTGAGCATGCTTGCACACACACACACACACACACACACACACACACACACACGCAAAACAGGCAAACCTCAAGAAACAAAACAGAAATCCTGTCACAAATATATACAACATGGCGAGAGGCGGTGGCGGTGCTGGAGAGATTCAGAAGTTAAGAGGACTTACTGCTCTTGCAGGGGACCAGGGTTCAGCTCTCAGTACATCAGGTGGTTCCAAACTGCCTGTAAGTCCTGGTCTAGGGGATCTGACATCTTCTGGCCTCCACAGACACCGTACTAACGTGTTTCACATACAGACAAGCAGACTTGTATATATACATGTAAATAAAATTAATACAATATCTCCCAAAGAAACCCCAGATACATGGGTGGACATCACCGATCTTCTGCTAAGGGAAATAAGGCAGGCACAAAAGGACAGACACAGTGTCAAGTATGGTTCTGTACAGGAATCATCAAAAGTTGTCAGACTCACAGAAACTAGAATGGCAACAGCCAGAGGTAGGGGTAGGGTAGGGATCTGTTACTCTTTGAATGTGAAACTTCAGGTTTTCTAAATGAAAAAGTTCTGGGAACCTTTCGAATACAGCAGTATGAATGTAGTTACTAGTACTGAACTGAACTGTTTTGTTTGTGTTTTTGAGACAGGATCTTAATCATGCCGGCTGACTGCAGATTTTGCCAAGGATGAGTTTAAGCTATTTACCACACAATCTACAGATAACGTGTGCTGTGATTCTAGGCGCGTGCCACTGTGCTGGGCTTGAACTGAACTGTTAAGCACGGTTAAGATGGTAGCATTTGCTAGGTATGGTTTTTAGTACAGTTGAAAACAACCAGGGGTGCAATCCACTTCCAAGTTGCTGCTAATCTCTGTACTTTGTCACATTAGAATAACCCAATTTCTTCACACTGAGGTGTCTACTTCAGTCTCATTAGTAAGAGACACCAATTCTTCCAAGCATTGCTAAGAAAGACACAGATGTAGCTAAATAATTGCAGAACACGGGCTGGAGAGATGGCTCAGAGGTTAAGAGCACTGACTGCTCTTCCAGAGGTCCTGAGTTCAATTCCCAGCAACCACATGGTGGCTCACAACCATCCTTTATGAGATCTGGTGCCCTCTTCTGGTGTGCAGATATATACATGGAAGCAGCATGTTGTATACATAATAAATAAATAAAGTCTTAAAAAAATAAATGCAGAACACACAGTAAAGTAGGGTGGCAATAAGATTGTAATTGTGCGGGGCCGGGAGATCTTCAGGGGATGGGACCAGAAGCGTGGCAGGGGCAAGGAACAGAGCGGAAGACAGGGTGGAGGCTGCATCGACAGCGTGTCCCGAGAGTTCTCCTGGGCCTGCTAGGGTTGTGTGGAGCACGACGCAGTCTTCCAGGTTGTCCTCCTTCTGTTTCCAGGGGCTCTATACTCCTGCATCTTGCGGTGGGCTTAGTGTAGCTTGTGGGATGAGATACTCCGGGCTGGGGTCAGCAGTCTGGAAAGAAGTGGATGCCATTAGCAACTTTCCTGGCCAAATAGTATCATTTTGCTACCATTTAGTTTCTTTGTTAGTTAAAGAAAGAAACCTTCCAAATCATTCTAGTTTTATTCCTGTTGTTGTGACCAAATGCCCTCAGAAAGGGTTTATTTTAGCTTATTCCGGGCTGTGGTCAAGGTGGTGGGAACTCAAAACCAACTAGTCACGTCACACCCACAGCCGGAGGTGGAGAGAAATGGGTGCATGCTCACTTTGCCTGCTAACCTGTTCTCAGTTCTATTTCTCCTCTCATATGGTCCTCTGCTTAGGGAGTGGTTCTGCCCACAGTGGGCTGGATCTTCCCTTACTATGTAAAGTAATTAAGACAATCCTCTACAGATATGGCCACAGGTCAAGTTAATGTAGACAATTCCTCCTTGGGGCTCTTTTTTTCCAGGTGATTCTAGGCTGTGTAAAGTTGACACTGGAAGTAACCATCACACAAATCTATTTCTATCAGGTTCCGCTGTTGGTCATTGATAAGATTTTTTTTTTTTTTTTTGGGCAAGGCCATGGAATAGCTGATTCCTGGAATTTGAAAATGCATCCAAGAAACTCTACAGGAATAGATAGAAACAAAACAAAACAATTTTTCTCATTGGGCAAAAGTTCCTCATCACCACCGTCCTCTGCCAAGGTTAATTAGAACAAATGACATGTGACTATGTCCTGGTCTGAGTGCTATTTAGGGAGACACAAATTCTCAGTTATAGATGGGACAGCTGAGCTCAAACAGTTGCCTCATAAACGTCAGTGGAGTCAGTGGACAAGTGATGGAGAGTGACTTTTTCTCTTGGATTTCAGTTGCTTGTGGTCCCCACAAAGCAAGGGGATTCCCTCGGTGTGGTATTTTTGGGCTTTCCGGATCTGTCCGTGAGCCATCACGGCTCAATGTGTCACAGTGTGACGTGTGATGTCCAATCGACTCAGTAGAGCTCTCTCTGTTTTTGCCTGAAAGAATTAAAATTGGTTCATCCATCTGGGCTTCCAGGTGGTAATGAGGCCCAGCCCTGTTCTCAGGATGGCCTGGGCTGCCAGGGCTAGACAGCGATTCACAGGGCAAGTTGAGGGTGCAGGGGAGAGATTTAGATGGCTGATACTAAAACCAGACTCAACACTCGAGCTGAGTGTTTACAGCCTCCCATTGCCACTGGCTCGAAGCTTAGCCAGCCCCCTCAGCATCACACAGATCTTGATACATGATTTGGTCCTTCCTGGGAAATAAGCACTGAGGTGGTGGTGTGGAGGGAGACTCGCAGGGTTTAAACTGAGGGCCTCGCCTATACATGCCCTCTGGTGTGGCTTGGGTCTGGCTTGGCTTCCCTCGGGTCAGTAAATCGTTGGACAGAGCCTGAAGACTCTAAGGAAAGAGTGTTTGCAGTGTCTTCCTAGATGGTTAAGGAGCATGTTTACCTGCAGCTGAATGGGAGTACCATGGGCAGTTAGAGCTACATCCTCCTCAGCTCCGTCACTGTCTCGGGCTGAAAGCCAAAGGAGGGAAGGGCCGTGTTAGTGTTGGACTCACCGGGGCTAGGAGGAGGCTCAGTGCTCTTGATGTTTTGAAAGGACTACTTGGTTGTGGCAACTATTGAGAAAAAAAAAAAAACAACAACAAAACAACCCAATGGGTTTGTTTGTTCATTCATCCATTTATTCCCTCATCTGTTGTTTTGAGACAAGGTGTCATGTGGCCTGGGCTGTCTTCACACTCAGTATGTAGTTAACTGTGAACTCTGGACACTCCTCCCTCCAGCTCTCAAATACTGAGACAGCAGGTGTGCACCACCAGATCCAGCACTTGGAAAATCTGATGGAAAAGAACCTTTTAAATGTTGATGAGTGAAGCTGTGTATGGTTAGAGCACATGTGTTCTGGAGAAGCACGTGGGTATGTAACGGCAAGGGCAGGAGAGCCATCATAACTTCCCAGAAAAGGGCCCAACCCTGGGCTGGAATGTTCTCTGTCTTGGAATAACAGTGACCTCTGGGGTCTTAGATTTTCAACCATCCCTGCAGACTGACTTCTCCACAAGCTTGGATTCATTTTTATTATTGCTGTTTGAGAAGGGACTTATTCTGTAGCCCTCGTTGGTTTAGAACATCCTGTGTAATCTAGACTGGCCTCAGGCTTTTGGTGGTCCTCCTGCCTCAGCCTCCTGAGCGTGTTACCATGCCCAGCTCAATTGGATTCAAATTCTAAAATTGGACATAATAAAAAATTATTTCCAGAGTTTGCCCAACATTGGAAGGCCCTAGGTTTGATTTCCAGCACCACAAAAATGAGCACCTAAGGGCACACGCGCACGCGAGTGTGCACACGTGTGCGCACAGACACACACACACACACACACACACACACACACACACATTTCCCTAGAGAAATACTGTATTGTCATAGAATAACCACATACACAGTTATTTGTTTAGTGACACCTACTCCATAATGCTTGTGTTTGGGTGTTCACACACATAGCTGTGTCAGTAGTGGTCACACTTAGAGGCTGAAATACTGGTGGTTGGACCCTGGAGAAGGTCGGCTTGGGACCCTCATCTGTGCTGTCTACTTCCCTTTTCTCTTTCAAGAGGAACATGTGTCCTCTCCCTGTCTGCCAAGTTCCTTAACCTTTTGTTCATGTTTGCTTCCTGGTGGAAATAAAATGAAAATCTTCCTAATCATGACAGCAAGTCTGTTCCATAGGTTCTTGAGGGTGCAAACGTTATGTCTGTGCAGAGCCCTTGGGTTGGGACACAAGGAAAGACCATGTGAGTTGTACCTTGTCTATGATTGAGGGTGGTGTCGTTATGCCTGACCCTCACAGCTTCCTCCTACTGGCATTTTGTAGAGGGGTGGAATCCTCTTATGTAGTTGAATACCGCATGTCTTCCCTTTGGTGTAGGATAGACTGGATCCTTGGCATCTACGTGTGGAAGAAGCTGGGAGTGACAATGTAACCTTCAATTAGATGTGAAGAGACTGAGGCTCCTAGAGGTCGGGGACCTTGTTGGTTAGGAAGCCAGTGTTTCTCCAAGCCAGAGGGTGAGAGTCTGTCTGCATGGTGACATGCACTGCTGTCCCTGCTGCCTGGTGATGCTTATGCTCTGATCTTTGTGGATCCCAGCCGAACCTTATCTAAATTTAGACCAAACAAATCCTATCCATGCTGTTCTATGCTAGTTTCCCTCTGTTTCTGTCTCTTGCCTCTTCATGGTCTATAACTCTTTTTTTAGGATTTTTACTCTTAATTTAGTATGTACTTGTGTGTATGTGCATATGAGTGCAGGTGCCTGCTGAGGCCAGGAGAGGGTACCAATTCTTTACCTGACATGGGTGCTGGGAACCGAACCTCTGGCCTCTGCAAGAACCCTACTTGCTCTTAAGAGCTGAGCCATCACCTAGTGCAAGGGAAACTCCCAGGAATCTATGAAGGTGACCCCAGCTAAGACTCCTAGCAATAGGGGATTCAGAACCTGAACCAGCCATCTCCTGTAACTAGGCAAGGCTTCCAGTGGAGGGGTTGGGACACCAACCCAGCCACAAACCCTCTGACTTACAATTTGTCCTACATCCAAGATGTGGCTAGGGTAAAGATGGCACAGAAAATTATGGGAGTGATCAACTAATGACTGGCTTAGCTTGAGACCCATATTATGAGAGGGAGCCCATCCTGAGAGCCAGGACTCAGAGGCAGGATAGCCCAGAGACCTACAATAGAACAACAACAACAACTAATAATAATAATTATTATGATGATGATGATGATGAAGAGCTGAGATATCTCTGCCCCTCACCTGTAAGTATTTAAAGAGTGTAGTGTGTTTTGTTGTTTTGTTATTGTTTTTCTCTATATCTAAATAGTGCTGATTGAACACAGATCCCCCTTGTATGCTAGACAGGCACTCTACCACTGAGCTATATCCTCAACATTTTTGCCCCTTTTTATTTTTTCATTTATTTATTTGTGTGTGTGTGTGTGTGTGTGTATGTGTGGGGGGGTATATGTGAATGTGTGCCCAAGTGTGACTATCTGAGGGCAGCTTGTGGGGTCCGTTTACTCCGTTTACCAAGTAGGTTCTGGGAGTGAACTCATGTGGTCCGTCTTGGCAGCAAGTGTTTTTACCCACGAGACATCTCACCAGTGCATAAAACATATTAAGTGGTACACTGAGGAGGAGGTGTAATGTTCCCATGTGTGCACACATCACACAATGTTCAAATTAGGAAAACATATATTTCCTTAGCCATTTCTTTATGATGAAAACGCCTCAAATTCTTTTTTTTACTAGATTAAAAACAAACCAGATAGCACACAGTACTCCTTACTGTGTAACAGCAGGCCAGAATTCCTTTCTCCTGCCTAACTCTAGGTTGCACTTATTCCTTGGCCTTCCTCCAGGTTTCCCCATCCACCCGACTACTCTCTCTCTCTCTCTCTCTCTCTCTCAAGATTCCGGTAACATCTTAGAGTGACAGGAAAGAAAAGCAAGCTTCCTGTAAAAGAGCAAGCAAAACTTGTCACCTGGGGGCCATTCCATTGAGTTTCCTTTGAAAAGTGGGTATACTCTGAAGAAAAAAGTAGGGGCTTGTGAGATGGCTCAGTGGGTAAAGACACTTGTCATAGAAATCTGCCAACCTGGGTTTGGTCCCCATGTCCTACTGTGGAAGGGGAGAAACCAACTCCTGTACACACCCACATGCGCATGCATGTGCGCACACACACACACTCATGAAATAAATACAATTTAAAACAACAAAATAAAGAATTATGGAAAAGGACAATACCCAACCAAAGCTGATATGTCTAGGGAACCCAAAGGCTCTAATATTTGCAGGACTTCTAGGGAAACCCAAAGGGTCTAATGTTTGCAGGACTAGCTTTCTGATGGCTCACTCTTTTTATACTCATTGAGCCATTTTCACTCTATCAAGCTCACCATTTATCTTTGTCCTAATACTTTTGAAAGTCATTGCTCTAGTATCCATCCAGCCACTGTACAGAAACCTGCCCACTATATTATTATATTATTATTATTATTATTATTATTATTATTATTTTAGGTTTTTCAAGACAGCTCTCTCTATACCTTTGGAGCCTGTCCTGGAACTGGCCTTGTAGACCAGGCTGGCCTCATCTACCTCTGCCTCCTGAGTGCTGGGATTAAAGGTGTGCACCACTACCACCCAGCTGGTGGGTCTGGCTTTTAGAAAGCCTGAGATGAACAATATTCTATTTAATCTACAATGGCTAAGAAAGGTAATAACTAAGGTGGGAACTGTCCTGCCCCCAGAAGATCTGTTACTGTGTTTATGATCTCTTCAAGTCCTCAGTGGGAACAACTGGTTTAGTTAAAGTTGCCTTTGCTTTGGGGGGAGGAGGGTAGCTATAACTTAGGAGGGGAGGAGGTTAGTGATAACTGAGGAGAACAGTCATTCTGAAATCCACTAACTTTAAATGGAAAACAACACAGCCCCCCAACCAATCAAGTTAAAGAGGCATGTGTTAAGATACCATCATCCCAGATACATATATATCAGTTAATTAAGCACAAACATAATTTATAAATGGCTTCTTCACTCAGACATTTTTGGGGGGGTGGGTTTCGAGACAGGGTTTCTCTGTGGCTTTGGAGGCTGTCCTGGAGTTAGCTCTTGTAGACCAGGCTGGTGTTATTCTTTTGTTTAAAAAGAAGAAAAGAGAAATATTGAGACAGACATATTGACTATAAGTTTATTATAAGGCCCGGTAGAATAGGGAGACTAAGAAGAGGAACAGGGTAATGGCTGACTGCCATGGCCGGTTGCCATAGAGAGAGAGAGCACAGAGAGAGAGAGAGACAGGGGCAGAGAGAGAGAGAGAAAGGTGCAGGGGCCTATCTTTTAAAGGGGTCCTCTGCACCTGCGTGCAGACTTCTTTCCCATGGAACCTTGGGCTGACCAGGGTATTGCCTGAGTGGATTCCACCAGGTAACAGGGGCAGGCCAGCATAATGCCTGAACCTTTCAGCTGGTCTCAAACTCACAGAGATCCACCTGCCTCTGCCTCCCGAGTGCTGGGCTTAAAGGCGTGCGCCACCACCACCTGGCTCACTCAGACATTCTAATTACTTCAATTACACACTGACATTTTAGCAGTATTCTTGGGTATCTTTATGATAACATTCCCAGTGCCTAACAATATGTTGAGCTTGTGAAATATTAATCAAATGCTTTGAGAATGTATAGATATGTTTGTGGTTCAAGGGAATCTGAGTGTGGTGTAATCCCAGCACTGGTGAGAAAGAAGTAGGAGGGGCAGGCATTCAAGGTTAGCCTGAGCTACATGAGAACCAGACTCAAACAAACAAACAAACAAACAAACAAACAAACAAGAAACAAAACAAGGGCTGGAGAGATGGCTCAGAGGTTAAGAGCACTGGCTGCTCTTCCAGAGGTCCTGAGTTCAATTCCCAGCAACCACATGGTGGCTCACAAGCATGAGATCTGGGGCCCTTTTCTGGCCTGCAGGGACACATGCAGGCAAAACACTATATCCATAATAAATAAACAAATCTTTAAAAAAACAAAAAAGAAGTGTTATGAAGAACAACTGGTTTGAAAATTCTATCAAGGTACAGCTATCTTTGTGTACATGCTCAAGTAGGTTAGGTTGCACGTGTGTGCATACATGTGTGGGGAGGCCTGAGGTCAACCTTGGGTGTTATTCTGTAGACACTGTATTCATCCTGGTAACATCTGCGTGTGTATGCCGTGTGTACACACATGCTTGTGAGTGTGCACGCACACACACATAGGGTTAGAGGTTGACAGTATCTTCTGGATCCCCCCCCCCAACACCCCCATACATTACATATTGAGGCAGGGACTATCTAGCCTATGTAGCCAGTTTGTTCGGGGAGTCTGCTGTCTGTCTCTGCCTGGTGAAGGCTGCCGTGTCTGCCTGGAGCTTTTGTGGATGCTGGGGATCTGAACTATGGTCCTCACACTTCTGGAACACGGGCTTTACCCACTGAGCCATCTCCCCAGCTCTGTCCATCATGCATTTTTGAGGCAGGGTCTCTCAAAGCCAGGATTCACCATTTGGCTAGAGTGGCTGGCTAGGAAGCCTCTGCCTGCCTCTGCCTCCTCAATACCGGAGTAACAAATGCGTGTGCCACCACACCTGGGCTTTTATAAGGGTTCTGGGCATCAAATTCGGGCTCCATGCTTGCATGATAAGTACTTCATTGACTGAGCATTTATTCAGCCCAATATACTGCTCTTTAGGAGGGCATTTACAATATAAGTCAATCTGCCCATTTGCGCTATGTCCTGCAGTGACATGCCTGATTGCGTTTGCATCCAGATGTTGTCATATTCTAGAATTAAATCCATAAGCTACTTCTGAGAGATTTTAAAGCCTAATCTTTGTAAAGACTTCCAGGAACTGGATGGAGTCTTTAATCCCTCTTGCTGATTGGTTCCAGCAAATCCTTCACCAGCTCTTATTTCTCCATTTAATAGCGGTCCTTCTTGCATTGGTTCAAGTTCATTTTGCCCCATTTTTAGTTGAGATGGGAAACAGCAGGACAGCTGCCCCCCATAGAGATGTCTTTACACTGGTGAAATTCTCTGCAAATCACCACTTGACTCCTGTTCTCTCAGCTGCATAATTCCGGTTTTATAAGCCCATCGGTAAATCAAATAACAATGCCGTTGGAGCCACGGTTGCAAACAGCATGAGTCAGGCGAGTTACAGGGCCACGGTGTGCCTCATGGACCAGAACAAAACGCCATGTTTCAGGATAGAATTGAGACAGACAGGTCGGCTATGAGAAAGGTGCATAAAACTGAAAACTACCAGCTCAGTTTTACTGTCCTAACCTTTCCACACAGGTGTGGTGCTAAAGCCCTTTAATCAAGCCTGTGGTTTTCCACAGAGCCTCCCCAGGTGCCCCACACTTTTCATTAGTGGACGTTGATGCTGGAGACTGACTGATGCCGGGAACAAGGGCATGGCTGTTCTCACCAGCCACATGTCTGTTGAGTTATCCTAGGATTGTTACTTCAATAAACAAGATCGCAGGCAAAGGGCTTGCTGTCCAGCTGCCGCCAAGGGAGCCATGATAATGCTTGTGGTTTTCCAAGGTGCTGGCTCTTATCTACTTGGTTTCTCCTTTTCCCTACCTAGTTGTAACCTTTCACTTTCTCTTGCATTTAAATTACTCTCTTTATGTTTTGATAATTGCATTTTCTCAGACTTAAGTTGTGATTCTAGTCTCTAGCCTGAATTTTCAGGTGACTCTGCCCAATCTTGGAGGGCAATTTGCATTTTTAAAGCAAGATACTATTGTATCATCAAATGATTCTGGCAATAACTATCATTGGCAGACTATTTCCTGTTTGGCAGACTATTTCCTGTTTAAAATGGAGCTTTTTCTTCCTTCCTTCCTCCCTTCCTCCCTTCCTCCCTCCTTCCCTCCCTCCCTCCGTCTCTCCCTCCCTCTTTTCCTTCTCTCTCTCTTCTTTTTGTTTTTCAAGACAGGGTTTCCCTGTATAGCCCTAGCTGTCCTGAAACTCACTCTGTAGACCAGGCTGGCCCCAAACTCACAGAGCTCCACCTGCGTCTGCCTCCCCAATGCTGGGATTAAAGGCATGTGCCATCACCACCCAGTTTTGTTTTTTGTTTTTTGAGACAGGGTTTCCTTTGTGGGGTCCTAACTATCCTGGAAATCACTTTTGTAGACCAGACTAGCCTTGAACTCAGAGGTCTGCTTTTCTGCAACCCCCAGAGTACTGAGTGCTGGGACTAAGAGTGCGCATTACCATCGCCCAGCTCAAGAAATGGATTTTTCTAATCTTGATTGGATAGTAGGGTAGTTCTGATCAAATTAAGAATGGAACACTTTTGCAAGCTCTGAGGCTCTTCTTATAACACCTTGTTTTTGAGACAGTCTTCATATGGCCTGTAGTTCATTCTGTAGAACAGGCTGGCATCAACTTTGCCCTGACCTTCTTGCTTCAGCTTCCCAAGTGCTGGCACTATGAGCTTGTTATACCACGCCTGGCAACACTTTGAATATTTTTGTTTGTTTGTTTGTTTGAGACAGGGTGGTGCCCTTGAAGGGACCGGCTCCCCATTTCGGCAGCCATAACAGCCAAACACATATTTGTCTGACCTTGTCTTAGTCACTAAGGTCAGATGCCTGCCCCTTTTGGCAGCTGTGACAATAACACGTGCTTTTCTGACCTTGGCTTGGTCACTAGAGGTTAGGTGCCTGCCTCATGGCAAGGAACCAATCACAAGTTAGCTGGTGGCGCTATGCTTTAAGGCTCTGGGTGTGCTTTACAGACCAGTGCACAGGAATGATGCACAGAGCATAGCAACCACCCTGGGAGGGCCCATGGGCCATAACAACCAGTTGGCCAATCAACACAGGGAAAGCCCTCCAAGCCTGGAGGCACACCAATCCTGAGCCTATGCGTACCCCTAGACCCTCCCCTTATGCTGCCCTATAAGATCTCTCTGCAGCCGGTTCGAGCTGTCTTTGCTAGCCGTCCGCCATGGCGGGGGGGTGAAAGGCCTGAGCTAACATGGGGTTAGCTCATTAAACAACAATAAAGCCTCATGCTGTTTGCATCAAGCTTTCGAATCTGCCTGGTGATTGGGGTGACCGAGGTCCTGGGCTGAGACCCCGGAGGCCTGAGTTTTCTGGGGGTTTAACACCCTCCCTGCAACACCTTAAACACATGTGTAACACTTGGGTGACATGGAATAAGGGGCATAGGAAACATGCTTTGGGATATTATGGTACTACAAGAACTTCTTTGTCTTTGGGATCACACAACACAAAGAAAAGAGCAACTTTTATCCCATCTTCGGGTAGGAAACATGGAAGGAATTTTAAAGAATGACAGACTCTGCAATTCTCCCCCCAAACCTCAGGGATCCAAAGTGAAGCATCCACAACAACACATAATTTTGTAGGAAGGATACAGCACATCAATTTCCAGCTCTCCATCAACTGAACTGAAAAGAACTAATAGATGCATTTATCTGGACAGGATTTAATTTCAATGTGTAATTAACTAGCGGTAACAGCTCAGAAAGTGTACGATGTACTTAAAAGGAAAGCTTATATTAAATGTTTTTGAGCCTGGCGAACACGATGTGTCCCATACAGTATATAAAATAGCATCTTTGTTATGCAGTAGAAAGAAAATGGGAGAAATCAGTTGTCTATTAAGACACTAAAATGGATGTAAAACTATGACACTGGGCTATAGATAATGTCAGCTGTTTCATAAGAGGAATTAATGAGTTTTGATACATTTCCAGATAACTGAAATTAGCCACTATTTCCTCCAGGTTAATGTGGACCAAGCATCTTTGGTGTCATGGTTAATGTCAATCCCTAACAAAACAAACAGGTGGCTTGGTTTTATATATAGATAAACACGTGACCTAGAAATTATCAAGAAAATGTCACATAAGCCGTTGTTTCCTAATGATTCCACATTTGAGCTTTTACTTAAGATTCAGATTACATTGTTTTTCCTGTTGCTTTTTGTAACAGAGCCATGAAAGACTTTTTTTTGAAACAGTGAACAACTTGCAAAATAGAAACCCAGAGTTGAACTCTGTGACTCTCATGAGTGACAAGTCCCACAGTTTTACATTTTATCTGAGTAAATTAACTTTCAGACTTAAACTTTTAAAATGTCAGTTGCTTTTGCCAGAGTCTACTTTTGTGCTTGATAGCCAACCTGTGTGAACTTAGCATGACCTGATCCACCCCTAGCCTGGGGCTGGTTAACTCATTCTATTTTTTGTCTTATTATTAGTTTTGAGACATTCATGTAGTTCAAGCTGGTCTCGAACTCCGTATCACCAAGGATGGCTTTGAACTCCTGATCCTCTTGTGTCTGCCTCTGTGTGTGCTACCACGATAGCTTATCATTTTGGAGTGGGCGACTTTCTTTGCCAAGCTTCAGCCACAGTCACACCTTTTCACTGAGAGCCTTCAATTCTTTTGGTCTTGTTCTTTCCGCATAAAGCCTATGTTTTGGAAGATCTGATTTCCAGTAGGTTCTAAAAGGCTTTGTCTCTACACTTGACACGACTCACCACAAATCTGGCCTCTGCCAGTGAGATCCCTCTGGGTTCTTTCTGCCTGCCTACTTCCCTCCCTGCCCCAGGCCCTCTGGGATGTACCTCTGGAGAGCTCCTGGTTCTCCATCCTGAAGCTGCGTTGATAGACTGGCACCTGGCAGGCGTTGCCTTGTGGAGGACACTCCTGCCTACACGATCTGTAGAGGATGCTCAGCTCAGGGATGATGTACAGCAGCAGGAAAACCCACGCATTGGTGACGAGGCCGATGCAGATGACTGCGTCGTCCCACTGAGGCTGCCGCTGGAGCTGAGGGTTGCCTCTCAAGAGCATGGAGATCCACACCACCCAGATAATGATAGAGACCAGCACGGTGGCAAAGATGAGCCTCCCATGCTGCTTCCAGTTCTCACAGGGGCCACAGAAGGTGGCCTTGGAGACAAAGAATGTGAGGGCCATGAGGAAGAGGACATAGATGAGGAGACAGACAAAGTCCACATTGAGCTGATAGGGTGTCATGTGCACGAACATCAAACCTCTGGTCATGATGAGGGTCACATACTCTATGGCAATGATGATCTGCAACAGGCTGACACCAATAGCTATGAACAGAATTGTGGTCCAGCAGAAGGAGACTCTACCCCGGACCAGCTTCACCAGGTTGGAGGCATGAGCCAAGAGGCAGGAGAAACAGATAGCAAAGAGAACCCCAAAGAGGAAGTAGCGGACAGGGGCAGTTTGTTGGTTGAGCTGAATGATGAAGGCAAAAGCAAGTCCGAAGAGCCCCAGCACACTCAGCAGGAAGAGGAACTGGGTGGGCATCACGTTCCACTGGCTGCAGTCCTGCACCTTCCGCATGAGGAAGAGAAATGCTAGGAGTAGCAATATTGTGACCACGATGCCAATCACCGCCAAGGACTCCAGAACAATGCCCCATGGCCCCTCATTGTCACAGAAGAGGTAATAGTCTTCTGTGGACTTCACGCAGTCCTCATACATGGTGACTTAAAGGTAGACCTCACAAGAATGGATGTCTGGTCTCCTGTGACAAAGAGATGAAGATAACCTGTGACTTTGTATCCACCCAGGAGAATGCCTGTTGGGAGTCCTGTCCCTCATTCCAAATGAAAACACCTGAGCATATGCAGGGAATGGCTTTACCATAATAGTCCCCCAGACAAAGGAGAGTAACATTTTCTTTGTCTCTCAACACTTGTCTAACACCAACCTTCCTGGAGTCGGGGGTGGGGGGAATAAAGATCTGACAGATACAAGTATAGTCTACAAGCATAGTCACCATTTCTACTATACTAACCCCTACAGGACAAGGAAGGCTACTCTAAACCCTGCCACACTGTCTCAGCTCCATCTCTGCAGAGCAAAACCAGAATGTTCTTCCCTTGGGGACTGTAGATAATGCATCTGTTTTCATAACAGAATTTCCAAAGGCCATTTGAAGGCAAACAGAATCTTCTTGTCTGATTGGTGGGATTCTATCTGTATTAGGCTCCAGAATGTCAATGTATCCTTGATTGGATTATCTCAAACACCGATGCCCTGTTTAGAGCAGACAGGCCATCCATGTTCGCCAGTAATTTTAATGGCTGTCTCTTCTTTCATTTTAATTTAAGTCAACCCAATGCAGCGGGCTATTATTAAACACCTGTTATTTGTTCACCAAAGAAAGAAGTGTGCAAAATGGCACCTTCCTTCAGGTAACTTTACAGATATTTAGGACTAAAATCCCTGACTTAACTGAGGTGGCCCAGAAAAATCAACCCCAAGTTGATTCCCATAAAATAAAACAGCAACCAAAACAACAACAAAATAAACAAATACATTTTGTTTTTTTGTTTTTTTTAAACACTTCTAGCCCCATTGCCCTTTAACTATTCCAAATTCAGCGGGCAGGAATGGTGATTCCAGTCCACAGCTGACCCCACAGCCCTGGACCCCAGCCTACCTCTTCTGTGTCTCCTCAGGAAGCCCACGAGGCTGTAGTGGTGGTGAAGCTGTGACTGCAAGTGAGTAAGGAGGAGACAACTTCAGGTGCTTTAATCTCTCCTCAAATGGGCGGAAGACCTACAGAACCTCACTCAGGTTCCAGAAGTGTCTATAAAAAGAACCGGAAGGACAGAAGGACACACCTAGTCCAGTTTCACGGCAACTTTTCTGTATGGATCCCTTTGGTGAGAGCAATTATTCCTCATTTACTGCTGACCCAGGTGCCTTGGCCCAGAGAGCTATGACTTTAGGGAAATCTGCTTCCTTACACTGTCTCCTACTGTGTTTAGGGAGCTGTGGGGGAGGGTGCTTGGTCCCTATTTCGGCGGCTTCTCCCAAACCCTGGTTTTAATCCTAAGATTCTGTAGAGCTCCCCTTTGACAAAGTACCATGACTTTATCTGGACATATAAAAGGGCAACTTTACCTACCCCAGGTCTTCAAATAGCTGAGAGTAGATGAAACTGTGAGATTAGGGGGGAATCCATTTTCTCTGCTCTTTCCTTGTGTGAGACCCTGGCTGCTCACTGTGAATGGTCTCTTTCCTGGACAAACCATTCTTGGTATCGCCCAGGGCTTTGGCTGTAATCTCTCATCTTTACTCTCCTCAGCCTCATTAACACACTTGCTTTGGGTCTCATTGCATCTGGGCATTCCTAGGCCCAGAGATGAAGGAATTCATAACTCAAGGTCACCAGCTGATGCCGAAATAACATACTTTATTTTTTTTCTATGGTGACTTATATAATCCTACAAAATGACCCTCTAGTTTCCTTTGTGAGTCTTTCCCCATATGCCATGTGAAGACCCCACATTAGTGCACCTAGTTTGGTTTTGAGATACCCTGGGACTCGGCTCTACCTTTTCCATCCAATCATACTCCACCCAGATCTCCAGATTGCATGGTTTAGCCAAGTTTGTTTTCCCAGAGCCTTGAAAAGATAAAAGACCCATCCACTCAGCTCATCTTAGATGCTGTTTCTGTTTTGAATGACCCTTTACCTTCATCTCCATGTACCTTGTTTCTCACCTAAGCCCTTCTTCTAAGGTCTGCTTCATCATATCTCCTAGACCCTTCTTGCCTTCCTGGCTCAATCCAGTCCTCATTGATTACCTCCTACCAAACTCTACAAAACCTAAGAATACATTCTGTTCAAAGTAGAAGAAATCCTAACGTTTGGGGCCTAATTTATGAGTTAATGTGTCGGTAAATATGTAAGGTAGTACATAATAAATAAAGTAAATAAATGAATAACAATGAATAAGAAATATGTCATCATGAGCCAAGCAAGGTCGTGCATGTCTTTAGTCCCAGCACTCAGGAGGCAGAGGCAGGCAGATCTCTGGGTTTGAGGCCAGCCTGGTCTACAGATCGAGTTTCAGGACAGCCAGGGCTACACAGAGAAACCTGTCTTGAAAAACAAACAAACAAAAACCCCAAACAAACCAAAAAGAAACCTGTCAACTTGTCGGTATGAACCTCACTTCCTTGATTAGGTTTAAGCTGCTTGGGCATCAGGAATTCCGTCTTTATTCCACAGCACCTGGCCCCATGTGGATGGAGCATCTGCCAGGTGCGTGGTTTGATGATGCAAGTGAATCCAGTATTTCTGAGAAGACATTCTTTCACAGTGTGGTTTTCAGCCCGTGCTTCTTAATGGAGACCACCTGAGGAGACCTCGGGTCTTTAACAAACCCTTGACAGGTTCTTTCTGAAAAGCTTCTGTCTTAGGAGCCTCCCTAACTTTAAAGAGGCAGCTTCTCCTTTGAGAGAAGAACCTTCCAGGTTGGTTCATTTGCTTTCACCATCACCGTTGCCCCTCTGTCACTGTAAGGCTAAAGCTTACTGGGCTCTGCCGAGGACCGTATTCATATCCACAAGAATCCATCCATGCAGCAGCCCCGTGAGTGGTGGAATTGCTGCTAGAAGACAAAGGAGAAGTTTCTACTGAATTTTCCAGGTGAACTATTTTGGTGACCTCCACTTCCCCCACCTTTCTGCCAGTTAGTCATGGCCCTCTCTCTTTGTTGTATGAAGAGGCCTCCTGACCTTAGGATGGCTTGAGGCAGGTAAACTCATGGGTTAATGACCACAAAGCCCTTTGAGCACCGTAGATAAAAGGACCTGGCTTAAGTATTAATTATCACTATTTAAAAATCTGGGGTGATAGAATGGACCCATCTGTTGTTGGGCATGGAGGCCCATTTTGCCAACACATATCCAAATTACTCACACCTCATATGTTTTGGCTTCTACGCGCTAACAGCATCAGAACAAACAGCTAAGATACGGCTTTGATGACTCAAAATACATCGATTATAGCCAGTCCATTAAAAATGGAGACAAAACAGTCAAGAGGCCATGTGCCCTCTGCCAGAAATAGCCCTCTCCCAGGGATTGATCTGGGAGAGAATATGAGCACTCATCTAGTCTAACTATTCCAATAAGAGTGAGGAAGCCAACACTGCAACAGGAGGAACTTACCAATAAGGAAGCCGAGGGCTAGACAGACCAACACAAGGGCCCGAGGCGTGGGATTGTCAGAGAAGACAGCCAGGGTGTGTGAACTAAGACTCCGACTGGGAAAGAATCTGTGTCTGCAGAGACTGGTTGACTGACTAGAACAGCAGTACTGTGGAGAGGCTGGAATGTTGCAGGTTCAGAGGCCAATTAATTATCTTATCTTGAGCTTGTTCTAGCCCTCCAGAGCAGCCATTCCTTGCCCACTTCTGTGTCAGAACTAATGTCTTGTAACTAATAGATAAAAATCTTCTGGAATCTATTAATGTAGCAGACCACTAGCTTCCACCAACCCAAAAGCCCAGGTAGCATCTTGGACCCATAGAAAAGCTTCCCCCATTTCTCTCTACCCACCAACTTATTTGAAACTTGTCTTGATTTATGACTTTGTCCTATAAAAACTCCATGAAACTGTTTCCACATTGGAACATGGAATTTTGGGGTAATCTAAACTATCTCATATTCCCTTTAAGATGACAGCTGTGGTTTTTGCATTGACAGTTTCCAACTCCCAGTCATGTTCTTGCTGTGGTCCCAGGCTGAATTTTCTGACGTGTCCCACCTCTTAGGGACAGGTCCTTAGAAAGACTCCAGTCCTTAGGTAGGAATTGTGAATTTTGACTGGAAGAAAGAAAAAAAGCAAACAAATCTAGAGTGTGAGAGTGAGCCCCATGCTCCTCACCCCACTGCTACCAACTTGCTGCATGAGGAGAGGCTGTGACAGGGCAGATGGGCCAAGAAAGGACTGTTTGTTCTTTGGTTTGTTGATGTCCACAAGGTACAATTGGTGCGTTGTAAAAGAGAAGTCCCTCCTCACCAGGTCCCTGTGTGCGACATTTGATGCTCTGGAGTCACCATCGTGAAATTCTTCATGCCTTTGTCTTGGATTTATGTTTGGTCAACAAAGTAGAATGGGGCCATAGCGCGTGCGTGCGTGTGTGTGTGTGTGTGTGTGTGTGTGTGTGTGTGTGTGTGTGTGTGTGTGTGTGTGTGTGTGTTAAAGCCATCAAGCATGATCCAGCTTCCCACAGTCTCTCCCATAGACAAGTTCTTGAGTATCTAGTCAATTCACTGCCAGTGCCCTGGATCAGGCAGCCTCCCGGGTCTACAGTGGAGCCTCAGCTGGGTCACGTGTTTGTGTGGGTTAGGTAGGGTGCTCTTGGAAAGGGCTGCTAACATATCTACTTCTATGCAGGACCACACATTTCCATTTTACACTGAGTCTCAGAAATTATACAGTTGTGTCTAGGCATCTCGTTCTGTTATTTTTCAAATACTATATTAGTCTGTATCAAATTATATCAGTGTAGCCGGGCGTTGGTGGTGCACACCTTTGATCCCAGCACTCGAGAGGCAAAGGCAGGTGGATCTCTGTGAGTTTGAGGCCAGCCTGGTCTATAGAGCGAGTTCCAGAACAACCTCCAAAGCAAGTTTTTTTTTTTTTTTGAAAAACCAAAAAAAAATTATATTAGTGT